CGTAGGTGAAGAGGGAAAGGTGTTGAGACGTATCTCTCCGTCTCGTGTGTAAAAAGTAGTAGATTAGGTTAGGTTCATCAGGAAACAGGACAAGTGTTCCCTGACGCGGGTCTGCAGCTTTTGGTCACCTGACCGAGGCCTTCCACAGGCTTACCAGTCCACCTCTTTAAAAAATAAGATTATAGTTATTCTTTAAGGTTAAGTAGTGGATTAGACTATTTGATATAATTATTATCAAAACTAAGCGTTAAACTGCCTGTTGTAAGAGTTTTATTGGCAGTAATGAAGTGGGGGTAGTGTAGTGCGTCTCGTATTGCAATTGCTGTATGGCCCTTAAGAGTTTACAGCTTCCCCGTGAATATACTTGTCTAGGTAGATTTTGATGACCGTGGTATCCTTCAAGGGGAGTCTTGATGCCGGTGAAGGTGGTCATATTCCGTGATCCTTCAAGGGGAAGGGATCCTTGATGCCGGTGAAGGAATCATGTTCTGTGATCCTTCAAGATGGGGGGAGGGGACTTGATGCCTGGATAATTGATAATTTCAGATTCCTTCCCCAGGAGCTGTATGACCCATACGCATTTATCACTTGCCATTGAATATAATATTTAGTACGCAAAGGTTAGGTTAGGTAAGGTTTGTTAGGAAACAAGTGTTTCCTGACGCGGGTCTTAAGTCACATGATGACCCGCCACTGGAACTTTTGGTCACCCGACCGAAGCCTTCCACTGGCTTGCCCGTTTAAAAATTATGGTCATAAGTTGGTAGGCAAAGGAAGAGCAATAAGCAGGTAAAATGCAAATAATTTATTGCGTAGCGTTACATATATATATAGTGGACGAACAACTGCTACCACGCACGCGCATACACACACACACACACACACACACACACACACACACACACACACAATGTTATGGACCACTTTATTGATAACGTGTCACCCGCTTTATCAAGTGACTTTCGAGTCCACTACCTGAGCGAAACGTAGTCAATAAAGAAGTCTCTAACACTGTATGCACCATTTTGTGGAGATCTCAGTGATATGCAACAGACACGTATGCAACGCTTGCCACATTTATTAGTAAATCTTTCACTCTAGAATTTTGCAATGTACGGCCCTAGTGGGCGAAACTTTCTCTAATTAATGTCTTGTGTTGCATACCAGTCTTTCCAACTTCTTGTGGTATCTGTGTTTACCCCAGTAACCGGTTTATTTTCATAGTAAATTATTTAGATGCAACGAAACCTTTATTGACGACGTTTCGCTTGCTTACCCAGTGGTTAAACGTTTAAGTCAGTGACTTGATTGTCAGTGTGGGCGAAACGTGGTTGATAAAAGTACCTACAGCGTTTCACATTTGTTCCACCTTGATGGTATTTCTATTCCATTTCAACGTCTCGCTACTCTCACATACCCAGAGTTAAACATTTTCTTACCAACAACATCAGTGGTCAGAAAATAGGTTAAACGGCAAAGGATCTATCCTCTCCAGGCTACTGGTTTAGAAAGACGCGTCAGCTAACACTAGGACTTAGAAAAATGTATCGGTCCTGGGACCCCTGATCACTTCCTAAGTTTTCTAATAAAATTAATAATAATAATATCTTTATTTCTACAAGTACGTGTACATGGTATACAGACCATAGCTGACATCAATGACATACTACTATATAGAAAGCCTCTTATGCTGAGCATTTCGGGCAAATTAGGTCAGTTTTATCCCAGGATGCGACCCACACCAGTCGACTAACACCCAGGTACCCATTTTATACTGATGGGTGAACATGGACATGTCCTAGTGTTACCTCACGTGTCCTTTCTAAACCAACTTGTTGGTATCTGTTACCAAGGTTTATACATCGTTTCTCCTACTAGTGCTGAATATCCCACACGGGTTGAACGCTTCACATACAAAAATATATCACTGATAAAACACTTATACATAGCAGGTCTGTCTACTGCAGTAATTTTAAGATTTAAAAAGGTCGGAAAATTTCAATATTTGACGTATGTATTGGAGATTACAAACTCCACTGGCTAATTTGAAAAGTTGGTTGAACACGAACATGAAAAGTTCAGGTGAACTTGAAACTCTGTTCTTCAGAACATTTATAAAAACTTTCTGTACACAACATGATAAACATCCATAGACAGTATATCAAAATATAATAATTAAAATATCAAAACCAAACATGCTTAAGATGCCGGCTAAATTTTTTGGAGAACACACGTAGGCTGACATGAAGTAAGAAAAGCAGTGGTTTAGTGGTTTCTGTTGAGGTGTGTGTATATACAGAATATATATATATATATATATATATATATATATATATATATATATATATATATTATCGTGCCGAATAAGTAAAACTTTAGATTTTGGCTTAAATAGCAATGCTCTTCTTGCCGTATAGAGCAAGCGAAAATTTGTGTATGCAATAATTTCGCAAAAATAATTTTGAATGTAACGAAAAATATATATTCCACCGTGTTTGTTGATTATTAAATTATTGTAAACTTGTATAAAATATATTTAGTTGGATTAGGCTGAAATGAATTGCGATTATAATAAGGTTAGGTAAGTTTTCTAAGGTTCTTTTGGTGCAAAATCATTAACTTTTATATTAACATAAATGAAAAAACATATCTTTAAATGTACAAGAGAAAATTTTAGAGTTAATGCGTTAAATGAGTTAATGCTAACCATTTTACCTATTCGGGACAACACACACTATATATATATATATATATATATATATATATATATATATATATATATATATATATATATATATATATTATTATATCACACGAACCTTGATGCTAATGAAGGGCTCTTAACACACACAACTGGAGCTCCTCTTACTTGGATCAAACCTAATTTTCTCCCATTCCCAGGAGCTGTGTGACCCATACGTATCTAGTGCTTCCACTTAAATATAACTATAAATTATATTACAGGACATTAAAATTATGTTTCAGAATTAACTGCATTGGTCATATTATCGTTAAGTACTAAACTCGTAGGGGTACAATGCCTGGAGAATGGGAGGTAATCATGGTCGATCCAAGGAGAGATCTCCAATTCTCTGGATCGAGAGCTCTGAAATAGCGTCAGTTACATACACAATACGAGACAGGTCACACAAGAGTTAACATTGTTATAAATATGCTACCACTTCATACATGACCTTTAATTATAATATAAGTGGTAAGTTAAATGAGATCATTATATATACTGGAAGTGGCTGAAGGGTGTGTGTGTGTGTGTGTGTGTGTGTGTGTGTGTGTGTGTGTGTGTGTGTGTGTGTGTGTGTGTGTGTGTGTGTGTGTGTGTGTGTGTGAGAGAGTTGAGAGTGGAGTGTGTGTAGGTGAGAGAGAAAGAGACAGACAATCACAAATAACCTTCACTCTGCAGAGAAACTCGAGACAAAGTTTCGTTCTGTCATAAGACACGTGTATAAATTAAGACATTTAACACTCACTTATTAGGATACATTGCACTTGCCAGAAGCTTATCAGTTGATAAAATTCTAAGCGAAACATCAGTTCCTAATGTATCTTAAGTATCGCATATGTATCTAATTTCATACTAGTCCAGGACAGACCGAAAGGTGGGTGGTCATCTGTGACTTGTTCCAATCGTGTCATTGTGATACATAGTCTTGTGTGTGTCTGGTGGACACCCGAGTGGTATAAGCAGCCTTCTTGATCCTCGGTTTTGATTGTTTGGCCTTGCTTAATTATATTCACGGAGAAGCTCTAAACCCATAGGAATCATACAGCACCTACGAGGGAGATAATGAGGTTTGATATAGTAAAGGGTATATTAGCTCCAGTTAATTTACTCCACTCGAGCATCTGAGACATCACGGCACCTACTTCCCTTGTAGATGCCCGTCTTGCCTCGCATTTAATCAAGCGTAGTTAGGTTTGCATTATTTTTCTGTTCTCAGGTGGTATATTATTATTATAATCAAGAGGGAAGCGCTAAACCCGGAGGATTATTCAGCTCAGGTGGTATAGGTTTATTCATCAGGAAAGACAAGTGATGATCTGTAACCGGTTAAGCATCCACTAGCTAAATCGTAATAACATGATTGCAAACTCGTGCAAGCGAACCGTAAAAACTCCAGGCCAATGCGTAAGCTAGAGTTCGTCACGACCATGCTGGCGGCAGACTGTGTGTAAAGACTTGCATTTGTGGTCACAATGAGGCCCATGCTAACCTCTCTAGGTGTATAAATATACCTAGCTGGATGAATCTTATTGTACCCAGCTGGTCCAGTTGCTTACACACTGGCCTGGAGTTTTAAGACTCGCTTGCCATGGGTTCTAACTCCACCCGTACTCTGGTTTGTAAGCCTCCACTGGCCTACCTCAGCTAAGTTTACACACCATTGAAAAAAAAATGTTACTACATATTAATATACTAAGATAATAACCTCAAAACGCCTTACAAGGCTGCTGCTTTTATAACAGAGCTTCAACATGCCATAAACTAAAAATTTACAAATTTATTAATATATTTGTAAATGAGGTGGCCTTAAATCTGAAGGGCTCTTGCTCCAGTGAATTAAGTCAAACCTGATTACCTCCAGTTTCCCAGGTGCTGTATGATGCATACGAGTTAACTGCTTAACTATGACACTGCTTGTTTGGTCATGGGTATAGTCGGTTTGTTGTTTTGTTAGATTTAAAGTCTACCACACGAGTGTCATTAAGGCTGCATGTCGCCTGTGCACCACTAGTCAAAAATACTTTGATACCTAAAACAGGGAATAAACTCGCTCACTCACACACACACACGTTGTGTGTATATATATATAATATATATATATATAATATATATTTATATATATATATATATATATATATATATATATATATATATATATATATAATATGCAAAGCAACCACTGTGAAAGAGTAGTGAAATTCCAAGCGCTTTCGTGACTACTCACATTGTTCCTTAATGTGAGTAGTCACGAAAGCGCTTGGAGTTTCACTACTCTTTCACAGTGGTTGTTTTGCATATTTTAAAATCACCTGTTTACTGTGATCTTATTGCATGCATGCATAATATATATATATATATATATTACACACACACATTGAGAGATGTAAACCTATATGAATAGACACCTCGATTTATATAGGCTATTTCTATATCTACAGGGAGACATACCCCCTATCGGTATATACATAAATAATTTCTTGGTGTATACATACAGGCACACCTTGTAAATATAGACATACACCTTTCAGTGTGTGTGTGTGTATATACATACAGCTGTGGATACATACACAACTGCGAGTGAGCTTAAGACCCGGTCACATTCACTGGTATAATGCCCTCTACCACAACACACAATGCAACATAAATACTTCACTCGGACCAAAATTTAATATTAAACATACTATAATGTTTATCCTAAATTAATTATAACAGCTCTTTTCTTAATCAAGTTTTATTAACAAACACCAATATGAATTTGATCGGTTATATACATAAAGCAATATATACATAGTTGTATTTACAAAATGTTTACAATTATATACATTGTTTATGCCAAAAAATGCAATACACAACATGAATTTATATATAAGAGATTCTAGTGGTGAGGAATTTAAGGTACCAGCCTAATTTTCAGCAGGGCAGGTCTTGCCTACCCTTCTATATAGTCCTAGATAACGCCCGTGTCTAACACCCCTGTTACACTAACCACGGTCACTGTAGCGCTCTAGTTATAGAATTACGTAATTCATCTTTTCCCTGAATGTACAGCATCTTTACAGTACGCACACTTCTCAGATGCAGCAAAACTCCATCGTAAGATGCAGAGCTGAGAGCTGCTAAGAAATCCTTGTGGGACTGAGGGAGGTGATGTCCTTGACTCTCCCTGCCTGCCTGCCCACCTCCGCCCCAAGTATTGTATTAAGGGAGAAGCATGTGTTTGTGGGCGAGAGTAAGGTGTCGTATTCGTGGAGACTGGGCGGAGGACGCTCTTGGACACCAGACAGGGGTGCGCCGGTGCTCATCCGACAACTTGCTACCCATGTAGACTTGCAAGGTAGAAGCGACGGCAGTCACATCGTGTATCTCAGCACAGCTTTGTGGAGCAGCGTGAGGCGCTCACGTGGAGATCAGGCGAGGTATGGGAGGCGGAGACGACCGTGTGGGACTCAAACGGCTTGCAACAGCACTGGCCACGCCGCCGCCGTTGCTGTTCCCGTTGTTGCTGCTACTGCTGCTGTTGCTGGCGGTGGAATCACGACGTTCCGCCTGCAGTTTGACCCACGTCTCCCCCAGGGCCTTGGCGAAGTGGTCGTCAACTGCAAGAAAAACGAGCGAGTCAGTAACATAATCAGGACCCACTCAGCTGGAGCACGCAACAGCGCCCTCAGATTAATGACCTGCTCTCTGTTCCACAAGTTTTCTTAGGGCTTGGACAAGGTGGTGATCATGGACTGGCCCAGGACCATGCCCAGGGCGTTGCCTGCGGCCGCTCCTACTTGTAACACAGCCCCTCCTCACACCTCCCTCCCATCTCCCGTGCCCCACCCCCACCTCAAACTCCCAGGGCAGCCGTGGGCATGACCCCCCTCTACCACAAAGTTCACTCAGTCCTGCAATTATCCGGGCCCCGTCATTACTCCAGCCTCAACTCATTGATTAAATGTAAAACTGCCCCAGCTACTGCTGTTATTGCTAGACATGTTTGGGTTTAAATTGAGAATTTCCGTGAGTTACTTAACCACTACAGCGACCCTACAACTTCTCATATACTCCATTACAAGAACATTTTTAAGTATTAATTACTAGTAATCCCATCTGTTCACAGTATCTTTACCTGGTAACTGTTACTTTGAATATTCAGTGCTAAGTTTAGAAGACAACCAAAACTGTTGGAAATGGTATAAAATACCGACAAGTTGAGGATTAAGACATGCAACTGTTGGGTATCTTTATTAATGAAACGTTTCGCCTACACAGTAGGATTCAGTCAAATACAAAGGGTGCTCTACCTCAATTTCTTGCTACCCTCTACCCCCGTACTATCCCCTGCCCCGCTGTATTCTGTAACCTACTGATCATCCCTCCTCCCTTCTGCCGCCCAATACCCTCGCTTCCTTCCCTACCCTGCAGCGCTGTATAGCCCTTGTGGCTTAGCGCTTCTTTTTTACTATAATAATAATAAATACAAAGGGTGCAGTAGTAGTGAAATAAAGATGATGTAATCGACCACCACAAATACTTTCTCCAAGGTTGATGGACTGATTACATCTTTATTTCACTACTACTGTTTCCTCTGTATTTGACTGAAGAAGCCTACTGTGTACCTGGAGTTTACCTGGAGAGTTCTGGGGGTCAACGCCCTCGCAGCCCGGTCTGTGACCAGGCCTCCTGGTGGATCAGAGCCTGATCAACCAGGTGTAATGTTTCATCAATAAAGATACCCAACTGTTGCACATGTCTTAATCCTCAACCAAAACCATGTTGAGCTCTCCTGACTGTGCCCTGAGGGGCAAGTTTATTAGCAGCGGCGCACATCCTGTGAGCGAACATACCACCAGAGCCACACTACATTTCAACTCAAATAATTGATACATAATAGAGGAACACTAGTAGGTTTATTGGTCCAACTACACACCCATTCGTATGTGTCCAATTTATTTTTAAAGTACTCGTTTTAATGACGCCACTCGTCAGTTGAACACAGCCACATGACTGTCAAACCACTGCTTTCCTATATCCTCTCTTATTGAGGAATATAGAGATACAGTATAATGTCACACAGGCTATGTCTAGATATAAGCTGTATAGCCCTTGTGGCTTAGCGCTTCTTTTTTGATTATAATAATAATAATAATATGTCTAGATATCTTATTAATGAAAAGAAGGTACCAAATATATTAAGCAAATTTCCTAAATTTGCTTGTAACATAAGTGAACTGTAGATATAAAGCCAGATGTACTCTAGTTAACCCTTTTGGGGCCTAGTTCCTAGGTCTTTTGTATATGCATAGGTTCTTGCACAACAAACCAGCCACTAGTATCCACAGGATGGATATAAGGTACACAAACTAGCCACTACTATCCGCAGGATGGTAGTGGCTAGTTTATAAAACTATTATAATAAAAAAAAGAAGCGCTAAACCTACAAGTCATACAGCGCAGAATATAAGTTAAATGCTTGATTTTTTTATTACAATGCTATAACTGCCACTGACTGAATACCCATGCACACTGCCTCAGGCCCAGACTCTTGCAACTCCATGTTCATCAAGACTTGCAAGAAACTCCTCTTCAAGGGGGGCTCCTTGGTGTGGTGAAGAGGCTCTTGGTCTGAGGAATTAGCCCTGTCGGTCTTCTTCCTCAGACCGAACCTAATTACCCCCCATTCTCCCCTCCCCTATCCCATCCTCCCCTTTTTCCATTCCTCCTCCTCCTCACCCCTCCCTTTTGCCCTTCCTCTTTTTGGCCTTTGGGATTTCTCCCACAGGCGCCCTAGTTCCTAGGTAGGGGAAAGGACACCGGGGTCCATCCCATTCCGTTGAGGTTCTTGGCGGTGGCGTAGTTTGCCGTGGAATCTGGATTGCCTGGGGATGTCCCGATCCCTTTCGGGTATCCCGATAGCTTTGGGGTGTCCTTTCGGCGATGGTGTATCTCTGGAAGCCACCTTTCGGATTCCGGGGTGGTGGCCGAAGGAGGTATGCTTTGTGGCGGATATCTGGCCGCCCTCTCTTTTGTCCACCGAGGTAGCTCGGCAGATGTGAGGTTGTTATCCCGGATTGCTGGTTTACTGGCATGAAGGGTAGGGTATGGCACGGGTTCCATGCTGCACTGCACTACTACGGTGCTGAAGTCCTCTTGGGCGCGGAGGGAGATTTCCGGCCTTTCATTCCTCCGGAACTATTCCCCCCTCCCCCCTTTTTTTATTCTTTTTTATTTTTATTTTCTTTTCTTTCTTTTTTTTCTTAAAAACAAAAAGGAAAGGAGTAACCTAACCATGGCAGCCCTAGTCCATGAACCCACTACCCCCGGGCCCTTTCTTGATACCGCACCCCATTCTGACCCTGCCGTGTGTTTAGACCACTCTTTGGACACTCCTATGCCCCTGTACCTCTTGCTGGTGCTGTTTCCTCACCCGCTTCAGGTACCGGGGCTTCGACTGACTCCTTCGATTTGTCTGAACTCCGCTCTCCTTTGACTATGCTTCCGGCTTCTCCCTCTACGGTATGGCAATTTTCGAATTGCCTGCCCATTTCACGCCGGACCAACTCCGGTCCTACTCCTAAACGCCAACGTCAATCTCCTGATGATGCTCCTTCGTTACCTTCCCATTTTACTCGGAAAAGACTGACACGTCAAGCACTCCCTCTCCACACTCAAGTTTCTCCCTCTGCCACCTTCCAGGTTTCTGCCTCTTCTGTTCATCTCCAGTCCCTTACACTCTTCCCTCCCCCTCTACTTTGGTACAGTCCATTACTGTCCCAATCTTTACTCACCCTCCTCCTTCTATCTCCAATATGGTCTCCCATACATCTTTGAATTCAGAAACACTTGAAGCCATTTCAGAATATATTGCAGAGACTAAACCTTCAATGGACACTGATTCACTTCCTGTTCCTTCTCTTCCCTCTCCTCCATCTTCACAACCCCATTCTTCGCAACACTCCGTTCCTTCACTACTTGAACGTCTTCCAATGCCACCACACGTTGACTTTTCTAACCTCTCTAGTCCGTAGGTGCCTTTACCTACAGATTCCTGGTATTTTCTTCATCCCCAAATCATGGCCTATTTACAGTGGAATACCCGCGGCCTCAGGGGTAATCAGGTTGAGCTTCAGATGTTGTTTTCCCCAGGTTTTCCCCTGTTGGTGTTTGCTTACAAGAACCAAAATTACACTCGGCTGTTTTCCAACCTATCTCAGGCTATAATTTATTGTATTCTTCGGATCCTTTCTCAGATGGGACCTTTAATGAAAGTGCCCTTCTTCTACGCAATGATATTCCGTACTGTCAACTATTTGTCCATACCTCGCTGCATTACACTGCAGCCCGTATCCACTTAAATAAGTGGTTTACAATATGTTCTTTATATATCTCTCCTTCTCGGGCATTTTCAATCCCAGACTTTGCTTTCTTGTTTCATCCTTACCGCCACCACTTCTGTTACTTGGTGATTTTTAATGCCCCCCCATTTCCTCTGGGGGGGGGTCTCATTGTGACTCACGTGGGCATCCAGTTGGAGGCTTTTCTCGCCTCTCACCCCCTCCATGTTTTAAATACGGGTACTCCCACCCATTTTGATCCTCGTACTCATCTCTCTTGCATCGATCTATCAGTTGCTCTTCCTCCACTGCACTAGACTTCACCTGGTCGTTCTACCAGACTTACATGACAGCGATCATTTTCCCGATCATCTTACTTCTCCTTCCCAATCCCCACCTTTCCGTAGCCCTCGCTGGCAATTTGATGGGGCAAATTGGGATCTTTACTCACCCCTCACGCTTTTATTTGAGGTTCCTTCTTCATCCTCCATTGATGAGCTCCTACACATCTTTCGACGTCAGTTTATACCGCAGCTTCTCATTCTATACCCCAAACCTCAGGCAGGCTTCTCAGAAGTGCGTGCCTTGGTCTCCTGCTTGTGCTCGTGCAGTACGTTTGAAACGTGCTGCATGGGGCAGGTACCGGTACAATAGAACCGCTGAGAGACTTCTTGATTTTAAGCAGAAGCGTGCGATCGCTCCGCCGTGTCATCCGTGAAGCTAAACGCACTTGTTGGCGAGACTATGTTTCCACCATCACCTCTGCTTCTTCTATGGGGTGCAGTCTGGAAAAAAGTGAGGAAATTGAGGGGTTTAAATACTCTCCTGACCCGCTCCTGTTCTACGGGTCGCTGGTGTTAAATGTAGCAAACCTCTCGACGTTGCCATTGAACTTGGCACACATCTGGTCCGTATTTTCCCGAGGGCTCCATCTATGCCCCTCGTTTTTTTCCTCAAAGTCTGCCAGAGAGTTAGTACCCTTGGACTTTTCTTCTCTCAGAGAAGAACAGTATAATGTGCCTTTTACACTTCAAGAACTGGAGGCAACGCTCTCAGCTTGCCGATCATCGGCAGCTGGGCCTGACGACATTCATATTCGTATGTTACGTTTACATCGGTCAGCCCTTGTAATCCTCTTACACCTCTTCAATCTTATTTGGGCAAAAGGGAGTTCTTCCCCAGCTGTGGAAATCTGCCATTGTTCTCCCTTTCCGCAAACCGGGCACTACAGGACATGATGCCTCCCACTATCGCCCCATCGCTCTTACTAGTGCAGT